AGAAGATCAGGGGTGTGGCTGAAAGACAGCAATAAGAAGAAGCCAATGAGTAGCAGCAGAAAGGCTGCAGAAAGAATCAGGAGCAAAGGATGTGAAGGGGTGGGGGCAGAAAGAGGAGACGAAAGCAGACGACATAACATTGCTAGAGAGTAGGAAAGGAGGTGAAAGGAGACAAATTTAGAGAAGAAAATTTTTCGGTTGCTACTCGGAATCTAACCCGGGACCTTTGAATGAGAGGCGAACACCTTAACCTCTAGGCCACGAGAGCCCCCAGTTGCGTCTTGGGCGAGTTCACACTTAGTTTGGTTTAGTTTTAGTAAAAGTTTTTACGGCACTTGCAACACAATAAGGTCATATAAGTGCCGAAGATTAGAGGTGTTACAAGAGAGTAAAACAGAATAGGAGGGGAGATAAGTGCAATAGATGTATGAGAGGAAAGAAGGAGCAGACCACACTAGGGCACCCGCCAACCACCCACATTCACAGCTTGTCACACGACATAGGACAGTGGGGGAGTGGAGAGACAGGGGCCTGTATGTGCCGTCACGTACATGGGTTTGGGTTTTTGGCTTTGTTTTTTGTTTCTTGTCGAAAAGTACAGTCCCATCTCATTTGACATTGTACTCTGACACACACACACACACACACACACACACACACACACACACACACACCTGTAGGACCAGCTGCCAGGTGCCCGCTCCGTGGAGAGGATGTCACAGGACAGGGGGCGGGGGACAGAACACCGATAGCTTGTCTTGTCTTAGCTCTCCTTAGAGTTTTTGTTTTGTTTTGTTTTGGTAGAAGTTTTACAGCGCTCGCAACTGCATAAGGTCATAGGAGCCCAATCCTGAACAACTGAGACATCTCAATGACTATCAGGAAAGATCAGGATAATGTAGCTTAAAGGAAGAAAAATAGAGCATCCGAGCGTAAAAATGAATGAAGAACCTTGATCACTGATGCATGCAGCAGAACGGAAACTTGAAGATAATGAATTTTCTTATAACTCACCAATCGCTAAATGTTTGGAGTTCGATTCCGTGTGGGGCTTGAAGTTTCCTCGTCTTTCCAGATACATCCTGTCTCGGCATTTTGTGCCATCAAGGAACTAAACATAACCAGGACACCAAATTACCCATTCTTGTCTAGTAGAGCATTGAAGTTCAACAGGACCAAAGAGGACAATGTGGGCGTCTGAAACCACGTGCCTTGAGATCTTGACGGGTGTGAGCGCGGTTATGTCAAGGACAAGGGGGGATAATGAGGGCGGTTAATGAGGCCCACCCGTGACAGAGAGACGAGGGGACACCCGGGTGCGGGCCTTTCACGTTTCTAGGTCAACCGGATGTTGTCCCCTGGACGCACGTGCGTTCGTGATACCCGGCTGCTCTGGAAAACACCAGATGTGGTACTCACTCACACAGGTGTGGCCCGGGGTGGAGGGGGGAGGGGGGGCATGAT